CCACTGTCTACCACCCTTCAAGGGAGGTTCAGAGATGACATCTGTCCCTGCTTTTCTTCTTTATGACTTGGTGGAACATGGAGTACTTTGAAACAATGCTCACCCCTGCACCCCGAGGATGTGGCTGGCTGCCTCTGGGGCCGCGCAGCTGTCTTTTCTCTGGTGCCTGCGTGTGTCCTCGTGCATGCTGCCTCCAGGGTGGCTGCGTCCTACTCCCCCCCTGGAAGTGCTCCTCCGGTGCGTAGGGCTCGCCCTCCTCCCAGGAGACCTCATCTGCACGTGGTCACGTCCACAATGACCCTGTTCCCCAGTCCGGTCGCAAACACAAGCATAGGAGGGGAGGGTTCAGCAAACCTGCTGGAGCAGAGTTCAACACCCACAAGTCCTTTAAGAATAAGTGTCCAGGGCAGGGGCAATAGCTCAGTGATCTAAACACCTGCCTGGCAAGTGCTAGGACCCGGGTTCGATCCCCGGTACCACACGCCACACTGGACTGGCCCCGGGCACACTGTGCTGGCCACTGAAACTGGGCATGGTGGGGCAAGCCTGTAATCCCGGTGCTGGGAAGGCTGAAACAGGAGGATCACTACAAGTCTGAGCTGCATAGGGAGACTCTATGCCAAATACATAAATAAATTTAAGATTTTTTTTTAAAGAAAGAAGTGTCCAGAGCTCTGCGCTGTCTCTCTGTCCCTAGCTCTCTAGCTATCATGGTCCTTAAACAGAGCTCAGAGCCTCCTTGTTGCCTGGAGGCCACCTTCCAGGGTTGGTGGCTTCCAGGTGTGGCTGTCCTCCTGCTAAGTCCCCTTGCTTCAGCAGAGATTTGTTTCAGTTGGTTTGTGCTTGTCTATCTTCTGCACTAAAGAGAGATGTTCGCATGATTTTAAAATCAAAAAAAGTTCAAGGCACGAGCAATTGGACTTGGGGAAGTTCTGGTTCGAGGGCAGGTGTCCTCCATCAGAGGGCGGGGGGGGGGGGCTGCCACAGACCCCTGCAGGAGCGCCAACGCCCAGGGTGAAGAGGAGCTGATCCCTGCAGAGGTGCTTTGGTTCTGGGAGCTTGTGAGGGATGATGGCCTGAGGGGAGAGCTGTGGGCAGCGACCCTTCCCGCACTCTTGTGGCCTGAGAAAGGAAAAGTCTAGAAGTTTTGTTGCCTTTCAGCAATCACTTTGTTATGCCTGCAAGAATGGCGGGCAGAGCGTTTATCATCCTGGTAGTGGGGGAAAAGCTCACTAGAAGTAATGCGGGCCAGACAATAGGCATAAACTAGAACTGTCCCGGGCAGAGTGAGATACATGATTCCCTCTGGGAGGACGAGACCGGCTGCCTTAAGGAGGCGCGGGGAATCTCAGACCTCACCACCACGGAAATGGCTGGTTCAATTGCATTTCGTAGGTACAGCGACTCTGCACTGGATTGTGTTTTTTTCCCTTGGCTTTGGTTTCTAGGAAACTCAGCCATAGTTATGGTCCACCTTTTTAATTTTTTTTTTTTTTTTTTTTTTTTTTTTTGGTGGAACCGGGGATTGAACTCAGATTCTTGAGCTTGCCAAGGAAGCACTTACTCCACTGAGCCATCTCCCCAGCTCCTGGTCCACCTTTTTAAAATGGTGCTGAAACTACCAAGTATATTTCGTATAGTATCACTCGTTTATCTTATTCATTAACCTTCATTTTCTTTTTTCTTTGTCCTGACATCTGTTTCTTTTTGAAAATCTTATTCTATGTGTTTTTTAATGGATCATATTTGAAGGAATAAGTAAATGGGTGAGTAGAAGTTTGGGTAGGTGAATGGGTGAATTTTTGAAAGTTGGATATATGAATGAACGGAAAGGTTCTGGATGTGTTTGGGGGTGTGTTTGGGTGGGCAGGTTGGTGTTTGGGTGTGTGTGGTGTATGCGTGTGATAGAAGGGTGAGTATGGGGTCAATGGCTGGGAAATTAGGCATTCAGGTGGATGAAAGGGTAGGTAGATGTGAGGATGAATGGATTTTTAGATTAATCGGAGAATGGATATCTGGCTGACTATTTAGATAGATGCCTGCATGATATAAGTGGGGGTGAGGGGTGTAGCTCAGCAGGGTAGCACCTTTCTGGCAAGCCTGAGGTCCTGAGTTCAATTCCCAGTGCCCCCTCCTCAATGTGAAGGGGTATATGGGTAGATTCTTGCTAAATCAATGGATAGGCACATGTACAATTGAATAAATGAAAAGGTGACCAACTAACCAGCTAGTAGATGGATTATTTTAATATAAATAAATCATTAAATTGAAGAATGGTTAGGTGGATATTTGAAAGGGATAGGTTACAGAGTAAGTAGATGAATAGGTAGTTGGTGGGTAGGTGGCTATTTGGGTAAACGGACAGCATGCACCCGTGTGTGTGTGTGTGTGTGTGTGTGTGTGTGTAGGGGTGGGTGGGGAATAAGTGGGAGGATAGGAGTGAATGGGTGTTCCTTGGCATTCTGTATGAATGCCCTAAGAGTAAAATAAAGCGTATGAAGCATTTGCCCGTGAGCGGCGTGTTACGGACATTCCAACTTCTGAGGAAGGGCAGGGGCTCTATAGACTGAAGGGCCTTTGTTGTGATGCGTGCCCAAGCCCTTGCTCTGAGACCTTGAGCCATGACCTGCCCCTGCTGCACTCTCATTTGCTCATGCATAAAAATGGAGCTAAAATACCTGTTCAGAGGGGCTGCTGTGAAAATTCAAGCTGGCGTATGTTTCAGAGATACTGGCTCGCTTCCTGCTGAGGCGCAACGTGAGAGAAAAAACTCTTTGCCTAAGTATGAGATAAAAGTCCTTTCTCCTTGTCTGACTACTGCAAGTCTCACACCCGCGTGGGAGCGAGAGAAGGTGCCAGCGGCAGGCGCTGTCTGATCAGACTGGGAAGGTTCCGCCCCCGGAGGAGAGGCTGCTGGGTCGGATCAGCCAAGGTGATGCCCCGGCCAACGATAATGGAAACAAGGGACCAGTTGGCGCCTGCAGCCCTGTTAAGGATACAGAAAACCATGCTGGTAGCTGATTAGATTAGACAGAAGGTGGGAGGAAAACCGTATTCACTGCGATGGGGAACCTCTGGGAAGTACAGCCCAGTGGATTCAAGTTGGGTTATGTTGCCTGTGGGCTGCTATGTAGTTGGGGGGAGAGGCGACTGGATTGGTGTATCTGGAGCTCTGAAGAAAGGTCAGGGCTGCAGAGGGAGATGAGAGCAGTCAGCATCCCTCGGTTCTTAAAAACCTTATGCATCCTTTCAGCAAACATACTGTGACATCCTCCTTTGATGTCACTCCCAGTTACTAAGGGTACTAAATACCAGGATTCAAAGCAATTCAAATGAGTTGCAGAATGGAGTCTGCTTCCCAGCTGATGCTGGGTGGCCACTTGGGCAGAGCCTGCTGTCTCTTGCACCTCTGGAGGCCTCGGCTACTTTGTCCATCCTTCACTGTGACTGGCAAGGTGGGCGCCAGGAGTCAGCCAAATAGCCTAGGCCTTGCTCTCTCCCTCTTTCTTCTGCTGCTTTCCATGAAGTCATCTTGTCTATGCTGGGTGTGCTTGGCAGGCAGGGGGCCGGGCACTGCTTAATCACCTCCAGGGCAAGGAGGGATCCTACTCCCCACAAAGCCAGCCTCTGCTTTCCAGGCTGGCCTCCCTACTGTGAAAGTTAATTGGCCCCCACAGCTTTCCCTGCTGCCTGCCAGCAACTCTGCCTTTTGGACCAGCAGGGGGTTCTTGTCTCCCTGGGGCAGCTCCTCAGGCTGTTGAGGAAGTGGCCGGGTGCCTCCTCAGAGTCCCTCCTCTTTCCATTGGCTGATACCTTGCCTGCTCTCTGAGCTGGAACTCCACCTAGACTCCTCATACTGGATAAGAGAAGGACTACTTCTTCCCACTGGATTGCCTCATGAGAGTCACTTCCGGCTCTGTACCTGCTCAGTGCATAACTTCCTCTTCTAGTTCTGCTACTGGTCACGGCCGTCTCCCTCCCTCCAGAGGTCCTTCTGAAGCCTGTGAAAGTCATGCTAAGATGTAGGTAGAGATGCATCAGGCCAAGGAGTATTTGACCCCAGAAGAGCCAGTGCCCTAGACATGGCTGACAGAGGAGGCTCCTGGGCCCAAAGCTTTCCTTGAGAGTCCTAGCCTGGGTTTAGGATCCCTGGGGCTCCAGAGCCAGACTGCACTGTGGGAACCCCTGGGCTGCACTGTGGGAACCCCTGTGTACTGCTTCCTAGGTGTCTGAGCTTTGGCAAGAGCTTGGTCTTCCTGAGCCTGAGTTTCTTCCTTGTTGTTGTGAAGTTGGACAGGTGATAATGCCATGTACACCCTGCATTAGTGTGGGGATTGAGGAGACAATGACACGGCGTCTTGTGACCAGGACTTGAGTTAGGAAGACAGCTCCTTGAAGGTTAGCTGGGTGTGTTCCTATTCTCTCTGGAACTCCAGAACTGATAGCCCTTTGACCTCTGATGGAAAATGTTGAAAAAGACTTATGACAGCAAAAAGGATGACCTTTACAAAGGCCACCAGCCATTGTTATGAAACAGAAGCTTTTGTTATACCAAGGAAGCTGAGAGCAGTTGAAATTCAGATGCTGTGCATGGAAGGAAATTATTTGGGGGAGTTAGTGGACTTTTCTTCCATTCCAGAAATTTTCATTCTAGGACTTTTAAGCGATGCGTCAAGTTAATTCCACTCTTTACCCCTGCTGCTGGAGGGCCCCTTTCAGGGATTATAGACAGGGTCCTGCCATACCATTGGTGCTGGGAGGCTTCCAGGAAAGCCTGAGCCGGAGTCTTGCCTACTTCACCATGGCAGGAATTGGAAGTCACACGTGGGTGCCCAGCTGCCCTCCAGGGTCTTCACTTTCATAGCCCCAGCCCCTAGGAGCACTCCACGGGGTTCCTGTTGCATCCCCGCTCCATCACCCACCTCCCCATAGCCTCAGCCGTGGCAGCAGAAGGGCCCTGGGCTCTTCCACTGATGCCTCTCGTGTCCCTTGCTCTGCAGACATTGACGAGTGTGAGAATGACTCTTACAACGGAGGCTGTGTGCACGAGTGCATCAACATCCCGGGGAACTACAGGTGCACCTGCTTTGACGGCTTCATGCTGGCGCACGACGGACACAACTGCCTGGGTGAGTGACACCCCACCCACCCCGTGGGCTGGCCTGCCTGCCTGCCTGCCTGCCTGTCTCAGCTCTAGCTCTGGGCGGGGGGGACTGTGGGGAGTCTCATCCTCATTTGGCTTCCTGTATGAATTATGATTTTGCGCGGGCTTCCGTAGCCAAGGGCTGCATGCCAAGCCGATCTCACAGTTCTGGAGACTGGAAGTCCAGGACCTCAGTACCGGCACGCCTGGTCTTTCTGCAGCCTCGCTCCTCCCCTTGCAGGTGGCTCCCCTCCTGCCCTGCCGCACATGGCCTTTCCTCTGTGCACGCCTGTGTCCCTTGTCTCTCTGCGTCCTCAGGGGGTACCCACCCCACTGAAGAGGGCCCAGCTAACAACTCCGTTTCTATTTACCTCTTTAACAGTCCTGTCTTCGGGGATAGTCCTATTTAGAAGCCTTAGGGCTTGGATTCCTTCAGTGTAAGAATTTGGAGGGGACACAGCCCAGAATCTTCTATACCTCCATGTCCCCATGGTTTAAATATGTTTTGAGCCAATTGCGTGAGATTTATAGGTGTCCACTTGGGAAGCAATAGAATAGGGGTTAAAAAAAGGGAAGTGTTTTGGTTTTGCTGGTATACTTCTGTGCTGCTCCCTTCTCCCTGCCCGGATGTGTTACTGCAGTGCTGGGCACATGGCCGGCATGCTTGTCCTTTGCTTTTCTCTCTGACGCCATGTGCACCTTGAGCACCTTAGGTGGCCCCTGTCACCACTGTCTTCCTGGTCGTGCCGTCGTCTGATGAATTGCTAATCATTGTGTGAGTTTCTGGGGATGCCGTAATGAATTAAAAACTGCTTAAGGGGCCTGGGCACCCACCTGGCAAGCACAAGGACCCTGGTACCGCATGCCATGCCCGCCCTGCACCGTGCCAGCCGCCAACATCGGGCATGGTGGCACATGCCGTTAATTCCTGCGCTGGGGAGGCTGAGACCGGAGGATCACTATGAGTCTGAGCTGCACAGGGAGACTCTGTGCCAAATAAATAATACTTTTTAAAAATGGAAAAGAAAACCTGCTCAAGGCCCAGGGATACAGCTCAGTGGCTCAACGCCGGCACGCAAGCGTGAGGTCCTGAGGTCCGTTCCTGGTACCAAAAACAAAACCAAACCTGCTTAAGCAACACAGATTTCTTATCTCACTCTTCTGGAGGTTAGGAGTCCAAACTCAGGGTATTAGCAGAGAGGCTGCACCTGAGGGCTGTGGGTCTGTCTGCTGCAGGGCCCCACTAGCGCATGGTAGCTGCAAGCACCCTTTGCTTGGGGCTGGCGGAGCCCCCTGTGTCTTCCCTCTGTCTCTGTGTTCAGATCCCCCACCATAACCACCCCATCTTCACCTGATCATCTGCCAAGACTGCTTTTTCCATAAAAGGTCACACAAGCACTGAAGATATGGTGACACACACTCATAATCTCAGCACTCAGGAGACTGAGGCAGGAGGATTTCCAAGGGTTGGAGGCCAGCCTGGGCCACATAGTCGGTTGAAGGCCAGCCTGAACTACATAGTGAGATCCTGTCTCAAAAAGAAAAAAAAAAAAAAAAATCAAAACTGAAAGCACTGTGAGGCAGAAGTTGGGCATCTGCTGGGGAGATGCCACCCCACACATAACTGATGTGGTTCCCAGCCTGTCACACAGAGAGCAGCATCTGTCTCCAGCCTCCTCGGCCACTGGCTTCTGGGTCATGAGGGACACAGTGACAGGAAAGCAGAGAGCAAGAGCGTGAGTCTGGCAGGAGCGTGACCATGCTACACTACTAACCCGCTGGGTCTCAGGCCCTTGCTGGAAGACGGAGACTCTCGGCTCCTCACAGGGCCAGTGTGAGCAGGAACCGAGACAGGGCCCCAAGCACTGAGCCCCAGGCCTGGCGCAGGACTCCAGCCCCTCACAGCTGGCTGGTCCTGTCCTCGTATCCTCTCAAAGTGTAGAGTAGACATCACCAGGTTGTGCGTGATGACGACATAAAGCTACCTGAGTGGCGCTTAGTAGGCGCTAGGTAGTCCACACACAGGCTCTGTCACTGCTGTGGACAACTGGGGCACCTCTCAGGGGGGCTCTTGTTTTGTTTTTTTCTCTCAGAAGCCAGAGGTGATTCTGAGCACAGTACTTTTCCTTTCGTGTTTTTCTAAATGTTCCATTAGGAACGCTTCACACGGGTGGAACTAAAGGGTTTAAAGATCATTTGGATTTCTTTCTTACGGGCTTCTGTGGTGTGCTTCCCAGAGGGCTCAGCAAGCCTTCCATCACGCCCGCTGGCTTGCGGGTGCGTGGGGTGGGCAGCTCGACGCCCGGATGCTCGGGGACTTGGCCTCTTCGTGGCATTTCGGCCTCAGAATTCCCTGCCTGTTTTTGTTTAATTCATGTTAGGCCTCAGATGATCTCGTTATGGGGAACAGATCTGTGAACATGTAATTACATCCCAGACAAGTGCCAGAACAGAGGTCTGGGCAGCAAGTCACTGAGCCCAGAAGGGCCCGCGCTGAAAGCTAACCTGAGATGGGGCGTGGTAGGAGTGAAAGTGGGGATGGGGGCTTTGGAGAGGTAGTGGGACTAAGCAGGGTGTCCGTGGGGCGGATTGTCAAGGCTGAGGGCAGTGTGTGGAGAGTGGTGGCTGCTCCTCCAGGCTGAGCTCAGGGTGTGCTGGAGGGTGGCAGCCCCTGGGACTGCAGAGCCAGAGGAACAGTGAGACCTGAGTAGGAACAGTGAGATCTGCTGTGTCACACACCAGGCCCAGTCACGTCCAGGAGTTTCTCATTCCGCCCTCCCAGAACAAGTGCTCCACTTCTCCAGCTGTTTACATCCTTTCAGATGTTAAAGAATGGCTCAGGAATTAACGAGGCAGTGCAGAGGCTGTGAGATGCAGGCAGGAGCCCCCTGTGACCAAGAGTACCATAGGGACTGACAGTTTGGGGCTTTCCCATTTCCCCGCCTCTCCTTGCCTCAGTTTCCCCACCTGTAAGATGGAGAGCCTCATCCCTGCCCTGTGAGGACTCAGGGAGGTCACGGATGCGGAGAGCGAGCGGTGTGCCTGGCGCTGATTACCCAGAATGCCTCAGGCCTCCATCCAGCCCTCGACTTCTGCGAGAGATGTGTCAGTCTAGGCTGTGGATGTCTCCCGGGTTCCGTGAGGCTGCACCGAGTCTGAAACTTGGGGAGCCCTGCTGGCCCTGCACCCTCATCGGTTCCTCAGCAAGGCACCCTGTTCCTACAGCCACTGGCCTTTGGTCTAAAGGTGAAGTCCGTGTGGATGTTTACTTTGCCCACAACGTGCTCACAGCGGATTCTTGTTATTCTGATTAATCTAAAGAGCTGGGCAGGGCCCCCCCCCACACACACACCCCACACCACTACCTCTGCGACTCTCCAAGGTTTCAAGGCGCACTCAGGGCCTCCAAGAAAAGGATCTTTCTGTGCCTCTCTGCTCAAGACTGCGGGCAGACCCTTCCCAACAGAGTTCTTTTTGTTTGGTCTTTTTCCCTCCTCCAGACTAAACTCTGGCTCAGAGCAATGAGACCTTGGTTCCAGCCAGCTCCAGCCCAGAGTGGCCATGTGGCCTCCGGCTACTGGAGTGACCTTTGGGAGCCCCTGCCCCTCCACTCGTGAATCGTGAAAGAATTAAATACCTGGTATAGTGTTGAGGTGAGGGAGCTAAGGACACGCTGGCCTATCAGATCCCACCCCAAGAGCAAGCTGATTTGGAACATGGTGGCTCAAATTCTGGTGTCACTATGCATGTGTCGTAGAGTCTGGGGCCAGCTGCTCAGACCCTGTCAGTCTTAGTCCCCTGCCAACTCTGAAATGGGTCAGTCATTCCAGCCACAGAGTAGAACTATGGGGATTAGGTAGAAGGAGAAGTGGGTGTGGTGTCTGCACTGCGCTGTGTGTTGCCACCATGTGGCACACAGGTTCCAAGCCAGCAGCCCACTGCCCTCGCCAGACCCACAAGTACATCTGGTTTGTCCCCACTGTGGTGACAATGTTTGTTACAGAGATCGTTGCATGACTTGCCCACGCACCAGAATGAGGGGCGATGGCATAAAAAGCAGCGTCTGCACTGCTGCTCCTGCGTGGTCACAGCCAGCCACCCCTGACAGATGTGGGACTTTGGACAGAAGTACAGATAGAGGTCCCCGGGCCACATAGCCCCTGATGGCCCTAGACGACACTCTGCCTAGCCGCTTGCTGCCGCCACCTTGGCTGACATTGCTTCCTAATGCACAGGAAGCCGGGTTTTAATTCAGAATTCCAGGACTTCCGTGCCAGACTTGTGCTCCATCTCACCCCAGAGGAGCCCCAGGACATCCTAACCTAAGTGTTCACACTGTGGCCACCAAGCAACTGACCTTTGGCATGGCTCGGGCTTAAGGGCCATTTGTCTGTCTGAGAATTGCAGGCTTGGGGCCCCTTGGGAAAGGAATCTGAGGGTCTCAGGTATCTAGGATGTGGCTTAGATAAGGGGTGGGTACCTGTTCCGCATGTCCGTGATCCCTGCAGCCTCCATGGCCATGTGACCCTGCAGAGAGGGCTGCGCTACAGGAGGGGCAGAGCAGGGATAAGGGGTGAGGGCTAGGGCAGGGGTGCCCCAATTGATGAGGGTGCCCCTGATTGCCCCGCCCTCACCACCCCACCTTGCTCACCTGCCTGGAATTTGGAATCAGGTGTGTGCCACCCAGCAGCACCTCTAGCACAAGCCCAGGGAACTGTGCAGTAGCTGTGAGGGGCCGGCCGATCCTTTCTTGTCACTGCCTCCTGGGGTCCCGACACCTCTGGTCATCACTGAACTCCAGCGAGCAGCCATCGTGAACGGGGGAAAGACAGACTCCAAAAAAACAGCCTGGTGCCGTTTTGTCTGCAGATGTCTGGTCAAGAGCTTAGTCCAGTTGTGACTCTGCTTCGTGAGCCACCCTCCCCAGTTCCTCAGGGGTGGTGCATGGGACAAAACCCGGCTCACCTCAGAAATAAGCACTGAAGT